TGAGAAACGAGACAGTGGGTGGTCCGTTCACTCAGCATTTACAGAGAACCTGCTGATCAACCAGCACCAAGCCAGCAGGGGAGCAGACAAGGTCCAGGCATCCAGGATCTCAGGGCTGTGGGCAGGGAGATAAACGACCAGATGAGACCGGCACCTGTCCTTTCTGCAAACGAACACTTATTGAGCAACTACTAGATGCGAACTCGTGGTCTGGATGCTGGGGGTACAGCAGTGAACATGCATGCATGCATACACACACACACACACACACACACACACACACACACACACCCCTCTACCCTTTGGAGCTTAATCCCCTGGAGGGCTGGGGCAGGGGTACATGGGATCTGCTTAGACAGAGAAGGGCTCTGTGTCCTTAATGGAGACAGGGCTCAAGTTTCTAGTGTTTCTATCTCTTCCTCATCAACCCTCTGGGAGGGCAAGATGGGAACTATTATCCTGGTCCAGTTTTCATAGATGAAGAATCTGACAGCCAGAGAGGAGAGGCGGATCCATCGAGGTGTTGCCACGAGGACATGGGACAGATATGTTAAGGCCTGTGTCTGGCTTCAGGGCGCCTGCGCTCTGCTGTGCTGCGCTTCCTACTGTTCCCTTAGAAGCATCTTTAAGGCTCCTGTGTCTACAGGGGGCAGCAACCTGAAGTTCATGCTTTATGCTGGCTATTTGGTTACTCAAGCTTTTGTTTTAAAACTAGCGTTCTTTGTATTTTATTATAAAACTGTTTGAATATTAAAATCATCCTTTAAATTGCTCACTGTCACACAGAATGTATGCTCCGGTATTATGCTAGCATTTAGCCTTTGGCCTGCTGCCAAGTACTCCCAAGAGCAGCACACCCTGTATAAGAACCTTAGCTAATAAATTCTCAGATTCCCAAACCTCATTGCTTGTCCATGTCAAGTCAGGGAAGGCCCGTCCTTGGAGAGGTGGGGGAAGACAGGGTTGACAGGTGTGAGGCTTCCTGGCCAGAGGCTGCAGACAGCATGACAGCAGCCCTCCAGGGGGGCTGCAGGGCAGGGGCCCTCTCCCCACAGAATGGGTGGGGGCGATCACTGAGGGCCCACAGAAGCTGGCGGAAGCCTACCAGGCCCTCTTGCCATCTCTACCTCCCCCTCCTCTTCTCTCTGTGGCAAGGCACAGCCCTGGCCCCACGGAGAGCTCAGGCTTTGCTCAGCCGCGGCCTCCTGGGTCCAGACACTATCTCCCCCTCTCTGGTTCCCCAGAGGCATCCTAAAATGGCTGGCCTGACTACCTGGGCCCTTGGAAGTATCAGAGGTGCCTGAGCAGGTCCAGGGGCTAATCCGCAGCAGTAAGCAAGGTCTCAGGCAGCCGGTACCCAACCCGGCTGAACCGAGCCCAATGGGTAATGAGAATCACCTTCCCTCTGCCCCTGAACTGCAGGTGTCCCTTCCACCCCTCTGGGCTCTCCAGGACACGTGATCCTGCCTCTCCAAACGCTTCTCAGTTCTTTTAAAGGGGGCCTGGGGCAGACTCCCGGTTCCAGCCGCTTACTGGAGAAGGGGCGTCTGGACCGCGACTTACTAGAGAACAGATCAGGCATTACTGGAGCCCCTAA